AACTTGGCGAGACCTCATCTCTACAATAAAATAAAATAAAAATTAGCCGGGCATGGTAGCACGCGCCTGTAGTTCCACCTACTTGGAAGGCTGAGGCGGAAGGATCGCAGGAGCCCCAGCAGGTCAAGGCTGCGGTGGCCGGGAGCGGCTACTGCACTCCAGTCTGGGTGACAGAATGAGACTCCAACTCAAAAAAAAAAAAAAGAAATCTGGCGAGGGCATTATGGCACTGGACAGCCAGCACTTTCCCCCACCCCCACCGTGACTGTCCCTTCCTGACACCACTGCAACTGGTCTGCACATCCAAGTCACTTTGCCTTGTCAGGTTTTCCTTATTTTAGTCAATCTTTCTCACTAAATAGCAAACCACCTGGCTTTATCTTTCAGCAGAGGGTGGGGCTCAGAGCCTACTACAGCATGAGAATAACAGAAGCAGTGATTGAGAATCAGTGATGCCTTCCCAGCTGTGAGTCAACACCCACAATCAGTCACCACAGACTGTGGCCATTGACCAAGTGGGAGCGCCACCCCACTGCTCCTATCCCCTCTCGGATCACCGCCCACACCCAGCTGCACATGTAACCTCAGGTTCTGGCTGCTGCAGTGGCAGCCAACATGCTTGGTCACTCCATCAGAGGCTGGGACCACTAATGAGTGCATCACAAGGGGCAAAACCATTAATCATATAGAAATGTGGCCACGAGAGGGTAACAGCCCAGATTTCAAACACAGCTTGCAAACTTAAATTTTTTGTTTCAAATAAACTTCACTCTAGAAAATGCAAACCGGAGAAGGACAGAAAAAGATCACAAACAACTCCATCTCATCACGCTCCCTGCCCCCACCCCTGGGCTTATAGCCAGGGCTAAGCTCTCTGGGACCACATCCAGAGAGGTTTCTCTTACTTCCCAAACAGGGTGTGATGAGTTGGCAGATGCTGCTGCTTGATGTTTGAGGAGTTTTAAGCCTGGTCCTTTCCTCTGCCCTTCTGCCCTCATTTGGAGAGGCTGATAGCCCAGGTACCAGCAGGAGATTCAAACCTGGGCTCCCCTCTTTAAACACCGGAAGCCTGGCCCTCTCAAGCCAGTCTGGGTCTGAGAGGATCTCCTAGAGACCTATCATGTGGGTGACAACCCTGATCCTATTCTCTTGGTGTGTGTGCTGTCATCAGCTTCCATCCCAACCAAATCTTAGGTGGGGCTCTACCTGTCTCTGTAGGGGACTATTAACTGACCTGTTGTCATGGTCCCCTGCACAGGGGTCCCCCCACAGATGGTGTACATGCTGCCCCAGATCTGTCTGCCCTCCTGCTGGCCTGCCGTGCTGTGAGATGTGCTGCTTTGTGTTGCACTGTCGAATCTCAGGAAGCCTGTTTGACATGGAGCTGATCTAAACCAGCAGACTCAATAATTAATTGGCATTTAGGACAGCACTGTGGGATAGGGCCCTCCCTAAGTGGACCTCCGTTATGTCTCAGCCTGGGCTTTTCTTTCAGAATGAAGAATATAGCTTTGAGTGATGCTAGGCTCGGGAGCAACAGGACACAGAGCCCCCTGGCCATATGTCTCATCCAAGCCTTGGCCCCAGTCTGCTGGGCACTCAACGGTGCAAGATGCAGGCTTGTTGATGGTCACATGTGAAAGAACGGTCTTTAGGGGTAAAAAATGAGAGAAAAAGACTGAGGAGACCTCTCCCCACATTGGGAATATCCAGAGAAAAGAATTTCTCTCCCCAGGAGCGGCAGTCCCTGGTACCAGGTTCTAGGAGTGCAGGCCAGGCCCAGGGTCTCTCTCATCACAGCTGCAGCTCTGGCTTCTTCAGGGAAGTGAGGTGGGACTATGTCAGCAGCACCCCCTGCCGCTGCTGCTTCAGTTTCTTGAGTGCTCGGTAGGCCTTTATAGCCCGCTCTCTCTCTTCTTCCACAATCCGCTGACGGGCCAGTGATGTGGTCAGAGGCTGGGACACATCACAAGGGCTCAAAAGCTCCCTCAGCATTAGTGATTTCTTGCCAGGCTGAAGGAGAGAAGGGCAAGTGAGGCACAGGCTCAGAGGAGGGGAGATAACAGAGCCTCATGGGTTCAAAAGCTTTATGGCCAGCAAGAACGTGATAATCTCACATCCACAGGCCCCACATATATTGGCCAGGGCTTCTGTTTCCTGGCAGCACTAGGGGACACACAGCAACTCCTTTCCCTCCGGTCCCCTTCTTACCTGGTCCCTGCTTATGCTCCTCCTAGGCTTGGCGGTCAGCTCTGGGGGCTGTAAGACAACCTCACCAAACTTCACTGTGTCTGGAGGGACAGAATATTGGCTAATGAGGAATCTCCCACGCAACCCCGACAGCCCTGGCTCCCAGGGCCGCTACTATCTGCTTATCCACTTGTTACCTCCCTCCCCCTCCCAATGGCTGTGGGCCCCAGAGGAGACCTCAGGTGCCCACTGTAGACAGGACAGGTGGGGAACAGCAGGCTTGTGCCCAGGCCCCGCTGAGACCACCACTGACACCAGTGCTTCGGGAAGAGCTACCTTGGAGCAGCTCCTGCTCTAGCCTTTCTGCTGCCTTTTCCTCCTTTTTCCGCCGGATTTTATCCATTCGCCGCTTCTGGAACCTGGGAAAGAAAGCACATCACCATCTGGATTCCTAAACTCTCTCTTCACCCAAGGAAGAGGCAGAGAGATCTCCCCCCCGCCACTTGAGGGATGCTGACCTGAGCTGGGACCCAAGCCCAGGCGGCTGCCTCCAAGCCCCTAGTCTCCTTCACAGCTGCCCACCAGAGGGGTCTGAACCCAACAGGCCCCTCTAAGGTTCCTAATCAGTGGTTCTCAGCCAGGGACAACTGCCCCAGGGAACATTTAACAATGTCTGCAGACCGGGGCTTCACACTGGGGAAAGGGGGGAGTTACTGGCATCTTATAAGGAGGCCAGGAATGCTGCCAAACACCCCAAACACAGAGAATCATCCACCTCAAGTGATAATTGTGCAACTGTGTTTAAAGGGCCTAGCAAAGTATTAAGTGTGATGTGGACACATCACCCTAAGAGTGACTGGAATCTTCATGCTGAATGACAGTTCTGGAGACCACTGTGACTCTAGGCTGTATCTGGGCCAGGTTCTCTACAAGGTACTTTTCACTGGCTAATGTAACTACAAGTAATACAAGTCTTCAGAAACAAGGACTCCACAAAGTTGAAAACAATCTAAACTTTGCGGCTTTTATAGAATTGAAAAACTGTCAGCCGGGCTCGGTGGCTCAGCCTGTAATCCTGCACCTTTGGGAGGTTGAGATGAGTGGATTGCCTGAGCCCAGGGTTCGAGACCCGCCTGGGCAACTTGGCAAGACCTCATCTCTACAATAAATCAAAAATTAGCTGGGCGTGGTAGCGAATGCCTGTAGTTCCAGCTACTTGGAATGCTGAGGCGGAAGGATCGTTGGAGCCCAGCAGGTCGAGGCTACGGTGGCCGGGAGCGGTCACTGCACTCCAGTCTGGGCGACGAAGTGAGATTCTAACTCAAAAAAAAGAAAAAAAAAAGAAAGAGGAAAACATGCAGCTGTGGCAATTTTTCTTAACTTCCAATGAAATCTTGGGCTGGTTCATCTGAAAATCTGTGGTTAATGCATTACAAAAAGGACTTGGAGGTTGAAACTGCCTCCCCACTCACCATAGGTCAGGGAGGTGATGTACAGGCAGGAGGTGGCAGGGGTGGGCAGGGAACCAAAGCTGGCAGTGGGCTTACTACAGATGCTGAATGCCATCCTCAGAAATGAACTAGGAGCCCAGCTGAACCTCACAACAGCAGCACCATCTCCACTTTACAGACGAAGAAGCTAGGGCTAACAGAGGTCATAGAACTTGAACAAATGACACTGCTAAAGGCTCTCAAATCTCTTTTGGACCAGAAAGGGGAATACTGGAAACACAACCAGAGCTGCATGTCACCCTCACACTGAAGCCCCTCATTACTGATTCCTGTAGGGGCAAGCACTTTCCTACAGCAGCTGCTCTTGGGTGAATGGCCCTTAACCTCATTTGGCTTTTATTTATTTATTTATTTTTTGAGTTGGAGTCTCACTCTGTCACCTAGATTGGAGTGCAGTGGCCGCTCCCAGCCACTGCAGCCTCGACCTGCTGGGCTCCGGCGATCCATCCGCCTCAGCCTTCCAAGTAGCCGGAACTACAGGCACGTGCTACCACGCCCGGCTGACTTTCTTGATTTATTGTAGAGATGAGGTCTTGCCAAGTTGCCCAGGCGGGTCTCGAACCCGCGGGCTCAGGCAATCCACTCACCTTAGCCTCCCAAAGGCACGGGATTACAGGCTGAGCCACGGAGCCCGGCTCATTTGGCTTTTGATGCTTTTTCCAGAGAAAAGCAAAGTCAAAGCAAGGTCTTAGCAGAGTCCCAAGGTTTCCCAGCTTCTCTGAACCCACTCCCTCCCCTGAACCCAGGTCAGGAAGCTCTGACTTGCCAATTGACCAGAGTTTTAACTTCTTTCCGTGGTTTCCCTGAATCATGGGACAGGATAGGTGGGGGCTGCCCATGGCAACAAAATGCTGTCACTGCAGAAGACAAAAAAGCTGAACCCATAGTCCTCAGGCCCCTCAGGCCTCCAGGGGCAGACCCTGCCTGCCCTCCCATCCTCCACTCACGCTTTCTTCCCCTCAGACTTCTTCTTGGGAGCTGCCTGTGCTTCGGGCTGCCGGGTGGCCTGGTTCTTGCTGAGGAACAACACATGCTGGGCCTCCTGCTCCATGCGCTGGATATAGGCACCAGTGGCCTCGCCCTTCCACTGCTTGAACTTGGGGACGGCGATGTCGGGCTCCATTCCCTTTGCTTCCTTCTCCAATGTCTTCTGAAAGGCCACCTGGGCTGAGGAAAGAGGGAGGCCCCGGAGGAGGCGTGATGTGAGGGGCAGGAGGGAGTGGATGGTGCAGGCAGCTGGCCCATGCTCATTTCCCCTCCCAAGGCCCTGTGAAGAGAAGACCAGGCTCACCAGAAAGCAGCCCCACTACAGTCGCTAAAGAGGATCTAAAATGTCCAGCGTAGGACATTCCTAAGGATGTGATTCCCACAGCCCACTGGAATATGTCAAAGATGTCCACCACAGCTCAGTTGAAAAAGGAAACCAGAAGCCACCTATATGCCATCAGAAGGTGACTGGTGGAATGGATACTTCTCTGTTCATCCAGACTTCACTGCACAGCTGTCAAAGGAAGTCTGATAGAGCTACACATGGAAATGTGGAGTCAGGTGCGGTGGCTCATGCCTGTAATCCTAGCACTTTGGGAGGCTGAGGCAGAGGATTGCCTGAACCTAGGGTTCGAGACCAGCTTGGGCAACACAGTGAGACTTCGTCTCTACAATAAAATCAAAAAATTAACTGGGCGTGGTAGCACACACCTGTAGTTCTAGCTACTTGGAAGACTGAGACAGAAGGATCGCCTGAGCCCAGCAGGTTGAGGCTGCGGTGGCCGTGATTTGCCACTGTACTCTAGCCTGGGCAACAGTGAGACTCCAACTCCAAAAAAAAATGCGGAAAGACCTAGGTGATTTACTATAAATGAGAATGCAAGACGCAAAATGAGTAAAGAATGATGGTCTAGGTTTTAAATCATAAGTATGTGAAAATATGCATATTATTTCTCTTGGGAAGGTCATATAAAGACTACTCTTCCACCGGGCGTGGTGGTTCATGCCTATATTCCCAGCACTTTGGAAAGTGGAGGCGAGAAGATTGCCTGAGTCTGCAGATTCAAGACCAGCCTAGACAACATGGCAAGACCTTGTCTCTACAATAAATCAAAAATTAGCTGGGTGTAGTGGCGCACGTCTGTAGTTCTGGCTACTTGGAAGGCTGAGGTGGAAGGATCACCTGAGCCCAGCAGGTCGAGGCTGCACAAACCATGAGCATGCCACTGCACTCCAGCTTGGGTGACAGAGTGAGAGTCCAACTCAAAATAAAAGACTACCCCTTCCCTTCCTCACCTATTCATTTCACCATCCCTTTGGAAGCCATATAGCCCCCCAACAAAAAGCATATGGTTCACACACAAATTTTAATACAGCATTGCTGTAAAATCAGTCCTACATTTGGAAAAACAAATGTGTATATACACAAAATATGAACACAGTGGACACCATTTCCCAATATGCCCAGAGTGTTACCTCTGGGTGGCAGAGATCAACAGGTGAGCATACTACCCAGATTGGGCAGAGGGGGAAAAAAGCAAGCTTCCCAGAGGGGTGTGATCAATTTTCCTTCTTCAGTTCCTGATACCACCCACTTCTCTCTGCCATGGCTTCCATGCTCTCATCCAAGGAAGCATCACTTCTCACTGGCAATAGCTTCGCTGGCCCCATTGGGTCCACTTTCACTCCATCATTACTTGGTAATCTGTTTTTCTCAGAGTAAATCTAAACCACACATTCCCTGCTTAAAACTTCTGATGGATCTCCATTACTCTTGGGGGAGTGGGGGGAGCCAATTCATTATGGCCCCTGAGGCCCCATGAACAGCTCCTCCCCACCCGGCCCCACAGGCTCCTTCCAAGCTTCCCCTGGGAGCACAGCACTCCCAGCCACCAGCTACTGCTTTGGCCCTGGCCACTCATGGCCTTCCCATGCTCCTGCACCCTCATGGCACTGGGTCTTGGCATATTTTCTCTGCCTGAAATGCCCTGGAAATTTGGGCAATTGGGGAGATTCTGATACATAAAGCCTATTGCTGCCTAGTATGGGCCTGCACATACCCTCTTTCTTCCTCTTCTTGTTACTGGTCAGGTTTTTCATCTCCTGGCGGCTCTTCATAATCTCTCGGAGTCGGAAAGGGATTTCCTGTTCGTCCTGGTTCTTGGGCTTGCAATTTACTTTCTTCTTTTCTTTGCTGATTAGGAAAACATAGGAGTGACACCCGTCCCATGTAAAGCATAAAGCAGAATCAGGGAAGCTGGGTGTGGAAGAAGAAACTTAAGGGCCACGTCTGGCTGCTGTGGCGCGAGTCAGTCAAGGGACCGCAAGTCGGGACCTTTACTCTGTCTCATTTCCCTTATCACCTAGACTCTAGCTGGTGTTCAGGCTGCTTTCTCATAGGATGCGAGGGCGAAAGGCACTCCAAAAATCGAGGAAGGCATGTCACTCCCTGACCTCATCCGGAATGGCAAAGATGGGACACCTGGGACGCGGCAAATGCAAAACGAGAGACTCACGCCTCCACTCATTCAACCGATCTTCGAGGAGAGTGGGCCACGGCCACAGGCAGAGGAAGGGAATAGCCCGTCCTGGGGTGTATGTGGGGACGCTCCCTAGAGGGGGTCCAGGGTAGAGCCTCCAAGGCGTCCCCTCCTCCGGGAAAGGCGGCAGACTCGCCAGGGAGGGTACCCACCTGCGCTGCCCCGGCTGCGGGGCTGAGGGCTGCTTCCCCCGGGGCAGCAGCTTCTTCTTCTGTTGCTGCTGCTGCTGTCGCCGCCGCCATCGCGCCTGCGGTCGTCGGAAGCTCCCAGGGTCAGCAGCAACCCCCGCGGGTGTCACCGATCTGCGCCCACCTCCCTCCATCTCCACACGGTTGCTTCCCAAGTGAAGTGAAGCCACTTCCGCCCCCACTAGCGCCACTTCCGCTTCCTGCGCCCATTCCCCTGCTCTCGGAGCAGAGCGGCAGCCTGACGGGTCCGGGTCGTCTAAGGCGGCCGGCTCTCACGGCCGGGGTGGATTTCAAGACCAGGCCCGCGAGCGATGCTGCTAAGGAGCTTATGCTGGAGCGGTCGGGCGCTGGCTGTCAGGGCCCGCGGCTCGGCAAGTATCCCGGCTGGGGCGGGGCAGGGCCGGAGGTCGGCGGCCGCGGGACGCCTCGGTACCGGCCGCGCGGCCCCTGCTCGGGGTACGTCCGAGAGCCCTCGGTCCGAGGGCCGGCGTGGCTTCCCGGGAGAAGCCCTGACCTGTCTGCCGTTCACGTGCAGACGGGGCCGAGAGGATCGTGTGCAGGCCGCCGCAGGCAGGCCTTCCCCCCGCTTGTCTCTCCTGCGCCCTCCATGCCCCCGAACCCAAATATGTGGAAGGGCCATTTAGCCCCTGGTGGTAACAGCCCTGGGTGAATGAGCACGTTCTCATCCGGCAGTATCTATTGAGTGCCTGTTGTGTGCGAGTTTTGCCAGGCTTTGGGGATTGGCAGTGAACAAGGAACTAATGCTCCTCACAGGAAGAATTAGATAAATATGTGACGTGTGTAGTGTGTCGGTCCGTGATGATAGGGTTAATAGAGCACGGGAAGCCGGGCACGAAGGCTCAAGCCTGTAATGCCAGCACTTTGAACTTTGGGAGGCTGAGGCAGAGGAGCGCTTGAACCCAGGAGTTCCAGGCTGCAGTGAGCCATGATCGTGCCACTGCCTTAGCCTGGGTAACAGAGACGGACTCCTGTCTCTAAATTAAAAAAACAAAACAAGCTGGGCTTGGTGGCTCAGCCTGTAATGCCGTGCCTTTGGGAGACTGAGGTGAGTGGATTGCCTGAGCCCGCGGGTTCGAGACCCACCTGGGCAACTTGGCGAGACCTCATCTCGACGATAAATCAAAATTCAGCCGGGCGTGGTAGCGCGCGCCTGTAATTCCGGCTACCTGGAAGGCTAAGGCAGAAGGATCACCGGAGCCCAGCGGGTGGACGCTGCGGTGGCCGGGAGCGGCCACTGCACTCCAGTCTGGGCAACGGAGTGAAACTCCAACTCAAAACAAAACAAAACAAAACAAAACAAAAAAAACTGAAGCCAGGCTCGGTGGCTCAGCCTGTAATCCCATGCCTTTGGGAGGCTGAGGTGAGTGGATTGCCTGAGCCCACGGGTTCAAGACCTGCCTGGGCAGTGAGACCTCATCTCTACAATAAATCAAAAAATCAGCCGGGCGTGGTAGCACATGCCTATAATTCCGGCTACTTGGAAGGCTGAGGCGGAAGGATCGCCGGAGCCCAGCAGGTCGAGGCTGCAGTGGCCGGGAGCGGCCACTGCACTCCAGTCTGGGCGACAGAGTGAGACTCCAACTCAAAAAACAAAAACAAACAAACAAACAAACAAACAAAACTGGGCACAGTGGCTCATGCCTGTAATCTCAGCACTTTGGGAGGCAGAGGCAAGAGGATTGCCTGATCCCAGGGGTTCGACACCAGCCTGGGCAACTTGGCAAGACCTCATCTCTACAGTAAATCAAAAAATTAATGGGCGTGGTGGCACATGCCTGTGTTTCCAGCTACTTGGAAGACTGAGGCAGATGGATCGCCTGAGTCCAGTAGGTTGAGCCTGCAGTGACTGTGAGCGTGCCACTGCACTCCAGCATGGGTGACAGAGAGACTCCAACTCAAAAAAAAAAAGACATAAACAAACAGCAGGGGTGGAAGGAAGGCTGCCCACACAGCCATTTGGAGGATTAGAGTCTGAAGATGGGATGGCCTGAGAGGCCTGGGCTTCTCATGTGACAGGGAACATGGGATAAAGGGTGATGCGATTAGTCAGTATGATCTATCAGAGGAGAGGGGAAGGACTTGGCTGTACTGGTAGAGGTGACTACTGGCCAGGATGTCACAGGGATCTACCTCCCCCTTTCCTGTCCACACAGTAGTCATCTTAGCTGGGGAGGCCAACCTCCCACCGTTTGCTGAAGGGCACATCCAGTGCCAGCCTGAAAACTCAGCACTTCTTGTGAGTCATACCATGTTGTATTTACACCATCCATCTTACAGATGGGGAAACTGAGTCTAGAGAGGTAAAATAAGTTTGTCTAAAGTCACGCAGGAAGTAGAGAGGCTGAGAAGGACATGGAGCTACCTGTCCAGTGATAGGAGGACTGAGATTTCTCAAAAACTGGGGGTAAGCAAGACCTTGCCAGCTTCCTGGAGAGTCATGTTTATCTACATCCTTAGGGGGCATGCTGGCTCTCCAGCTGGGATTGCTGCCAGAGGCTTCCTGGAACCAGCAGCATTCTTCACAGGCAACTTCCTCAAGCACAAGCCACTGATGGCTGCAGAGAGTTTGGGACAGACCACATGGAGTTGGACTCCCAAGCAGGTGCAAACAGCACCGGACAGCCCAAGGCCTCTGTGTCCAGCAGGAGCCCCTCAGAACCCCAGTACCCTCTGCCACCTGAGCTCCAGCCCCCCACAAACTGCTGCATGAGTGGCTGCCCCAACTGCGTGTGGGTGGAGTACACAGACACACTGCTGCAGCATTACCAGGATGGTGGGGAGCGTGCCCTGGCCACCCTAGAGGAGCACGTGGCTGATGAGAACCTCAAGGCCTTTCTCAGGATGGAGATCCGGCTCCGCACAAGGCCTGAAGGATGAGCTGGCCAGGCCAGGACACCCTCCCTGAACAGAGACTCCTGCCTTGCCCTACTCGAGAAGCAACATAGGAGGCCTCTTTTATTCATATCCCTTTTACAGGCTTGTTGTATCCAACAGGTATAGGAGGAGTTATTTATTAACTTTACCTGAGAAAAAATAAATTCTCTGTTGTGGTTAAACAGGAGGTTTTTGGTTTTGTTTTTTGTTATTTTTCTGGCAGCACATCCACCAACCAGAATGGCCACTGCTTTAGCCTAACGGGAGTCTTTTGTGTTATCTGTAAGGCCTGTGTTGCCTCTTCAAGAAAAGCCGGTACAGGTTGGCATTGTACAGCCACTGAGCCCCTGTAATCCTCACCAACCTGTAATGATAAAATAGGACCCCATTTCCTGGAACATTCACGTGACCGTGATTCTGGGAGTTCCCCTCCAGGACAGGTCCCAGCACCCCACAAATCCTGACCAAGATCAGCCCTGGTCATTGTCAGTATGCATCAGAGAGAGGGAGCCATCTGATTTCACACAGTTGCTGTAACAGAACCCTTGGCAGGCATGGAAGCCTGCAGACACCCTGGGAAGTACCCATCCATCCTGCTGCCATCAATTTATCAGGGTCCTTGGGGGATGTCCCTTTTGCGAGCCTGGTAGAGGTTGTAGATCAGCCCTCAGAGGCCTGAGCACTACTTGGAACCAGTCCTTCCAAACTGCTTAGCCACGACTCTCAAGGCACCTGGCTGGGATGGAAGGACCAGCAGGCCTTAGGCATTAGCCCAGAACCAGTGTCCAGCACCATCCTGGTCCTTAGCTGTAATCTTGGCCACTGAACCATCGACCTAGGGTAGGACTTCATCTTAGGGTCCTCAGTGCCCACCCCCCATCTCCCGCTTGCCATATTCCATGGACAATTTCCTACCCCAGCAATTCCAAGCTCTGGTTACCAGTGTCCTGGGCAAGGCTACAGTACATTTATACTTAGTTTATCTCCTAACCTAAGAGAAAAGCTAGGATTGTAATGGGATTCGTGGTGGGATTTGAGCTGATAAACAAGCTCTTCCCAGGTAGGGGCCTACATAAAGCCAGCTTTTCACATAGAGATAGAAATCTGTGGACAATAGACTCAAATCGTGAAACCACAAATGTGGTGCCTTACTAATAGGTAACAAGACACCCACTGGTTTGGGCTGTCATTTTGCACAGCTAATGCATGTCATCCAGAAGCATTCAGAGTTTTATCTGGGTTCAGAGAAACATGATTATAGTGACAAGTTTTTTTTTTTTATTTAATGTTACTTTTTTCCTCTTAATTTTTTTAATTTTAAAGGTATTGGGTACAATTCAGGGTTAGGTATACAGATGTTCATTATGCAGATATGACAAGTTTCTATTAGATTCCAGACTCTCAGAAAACATTGAGTTTAACCCCATCCCGTACAGATTAAGATATGGTCCAGACAGAGATTTTCCCTGTTACACAGCAGCACAGTGGAGTGTGGCATGCACCAAGGACCCCTGAAGTGGGGGGCCACATAGAGGTGATTTATTTTATAGAGACATAGGAAGAAGTTTTCCATATTTTTCACAAAAATATGTATATAGAAAGTCTTAAATATTTTATACTTGCCTGAGCCCATGGGTTCGAGACTAGCACGAGCAACTTGGCAAGACCTTGTGATTACAATAAATCAAAAAAATAAGCTGGATGTGGTAGCATGTGCCTATAGTTCCGGCTACTTGGCAGGCTGAGACTGAAGGATTACCTGAGCCTAGCGGGTCGACACGGGTGGCAGTGGGCGTTCCACTGCACTCCAACCTAGAACCTAGGCGACGGAGTGAGACTCCAACTCAAAAAAAAAAGATCTGATGGTCAAGGGAGCCAGCAATGTCTGCAGACACCACCACATTAGTGCAGATCTTGTCTTCATGCATTCGTTCCACAGGTGTGTATCAAGCATCTGTGATACATACATGGCCTGGACACCAGGACCTGGTAGAAATCCATCCATCCATCCCACTCCAGTGTGGAAGACAGAGGTTAACACAACAATTATCTAAATATACAAACATGATAAGTGTGATGAAGGAAATTTTCAGCTGCCAAGAGTTCCTATAGAATAGGCATTCTGGTCTAGCCTGGGGGGTTTCCCTAAGAAGGGACACTAGGTAGAGCTCTGAAGGCCCAAGAGGAGGGAGCCTGGGGAAAGGGGAGGAATACAGGGAATGCACCACACAGAAGGAGCAGCAGGCGCAAAGGCCCTGGGGCTGGAGGGAA